TGTGTGTTGTTTGATATATAATTGTGTATATCCCCAATTATTATTTTTGGCTTTTTTATCCAAATCTAGTCTATTCGAGTGAAATTATAAAGTGTTAACAAACAAATTATAACTCAAGATTTAATTTGACATACCGTAAAACATCATATTTTTATACCATTTTTTTAATGTAAGAAAATATTTTCTAGTAAAGTGCTATAATATAAATATATTATATATTTGTGTCATATTAAAGAAGAAAATTGTGAATGAGGCTGAAAATAAGTATTTACACAAATTTGCAAAATTTTTAGTGAGAAATTAAAATAGCTTGTTAAAAAAATAAACATTTTACTTTTAATTACAAAAAATTATGAGCCTAGTCTTAAAATTAAACATTTTCACAAAAGATGTCACTTTACCCGCAACCATAAAATATATTTTCGGAAGACAATACAAAAAAACAAAGAAACTTTTCTTATTTAAAGTACAGCGATAAAACAAAAGTGTGCCTTTAGATTTGAATCTCGTGGTCATTAGAGAGTCAAGTTAGCATACATTTTAATATCTCGAGACAGCTGCGGCCTGAAGGCGTTGCAAAGTATAAAAAAATATTTATTTTCCCCTGTATCTAAGGATTTATTATAGCAATATTCTTTCGGACATCTGATATAATGTTCAAGCCGTTGTTTTCTTACCGTCTATGAAATATGTGAATATTTTATCTCATATATATTACCTTCATGGCTCAGGTCACGTCCTAGTTCCTGAATAGATTGTAGCTCAACTTGTTGATTGACTGCTTGTTTTGGGTTTGTAACTAAAAAAAGAATTAACTATTGCGACTTTGTAACTTGAACATTTAGAATTTAACTTTTTTTATTATTGAGACATTGACAGGGGTAACTTATTGTAGTGACCCGGGGAGTGTGGGGGTCGGGCCGCGAAGTGCAATGGACCCATACCCACTAAACCCATTAGCCCCATCTGCTCGCTATGGATGGAAGGTAGGGTGACAGTTTACCGTAATCTGTGCTGCCGTCTAGAGCGTATGGTGTCTGCATCTTCCAAAATCTATCCTAACCTAACCATGCATACTTATAAATATAATGTAATATATAGAACTTTAACATCTATAACTTTAGACGGCCAAAGACAACGGCCTAGCAACATGGTTCTTCGTCTTGGGCTGCGCAGATTTTTTTCAAGTAACATAGTAGGTACCTAGTTTGGAGCATAAATAAATAAAAAAATATTTTGTTTTCATTTATATTATGCAAAATCGATTGTTTAGATCTTGATTGTTGAACCCTTTATTTATTCATATAAAAAAATGTACTGTCTTAACTAAAGTACACTTTTGTCACTTCTTCTTCTTTTAGAACCTCTATATTACTGGAGGTTGGCCGTCAGTCTCTTGAAGGATTTCTTCCTTCTACCAACACGCCGTTTACCCTGAATGTTATCTATTATAATTGATTGAAGGAGGTGGTAGCGGTCATGATGGAACACGTGGCCCAGGTTCGCAACTTTCCGTTATTTAATTTTCTGCATAAGTTTTTTCGATACTCCAACTCGTTTAAGAACTTTTCGTTAGATCTCGCTGAATCCAGCTTCTACGAAGCATACGACGATCGCAGCACATCTCAAATGCTTCTAAGCACCGACGGGTATCTCCTTTAATTGTCCAACCTTCACAGCCGTACAGAATGCTTTTCATCACAGCAAAGACACGAAAGATAATAAGGATATATAAAATACTTTTAAAATAAACATGGTCCTTACTCAGTCATATCTATCTAACAGATTAGATAAAGTCATAAATTAAATGGTTAGTTAGATTAATATTATAATGAAGAAGCAATAATTCAATATTCAGCAATAATTATTGTTATCATTTAACGGTGCAACTCGATTACATATATGTCCGCGTATTTAACAAGGAAGGGCAATGTTACTTTTGCCAATTGTATATTATAAACTAATATATACTTCATGAACAACTATTTCATGAATGAGCACTATTGTTACTCCATCTTGTCTTAACCAAATCGTCATGATCGTAGAACAATGTCGGATTTGAAAAAAATCCAACATCCACTTTTTATCATATTTGGATACTAAATTGACTAAATATTGCGGCTAAATTAATTTCAAAAAATTCCAAATGGTTTAAATTTCAAATTAATCAGTCGGTAAAGTAACGGATTTGATAGAAACATGTGATTTTTCTAGAAAACTGTGTAATTTAATGTTATTATTTTATTACAAAATTAACCCTTTTGCTTGCTTGTATGCCAATTTTCATAATAACAGAATATGAATTAAAATAGTTATGACAAAAACTAACATGATTATATTATTTGAAATGGCTGCCCTGTAAAGTTTACTATTTGTCAGATCCGTCACTATTCTACGACTATGACGAATGTATAGTGCGAAATCTTCTGAAGATGGTAAGCCGGCTAAAAGTTCAGACCTCGCGTTTAAATTCGTTAATGCCGACCTAAATATACCTTGAGTTTACCGTTAATTGAATTTCCATTACCGCTCCAATGAACTTATTGGCTTATTCCACTCGACGATCTAAGGTTGTTACGAGTAAAACTCATCACTTGTCTTTGTGTAAATGTCGCCCGTGGAGGCGTAGGCATAGCACTAGAGCTTAATAATGCTTCAGTAAATTTATTTTACTTGCTTTGATAACAAAATAAATTATATTCTAAAATATTCGTAAGTGAATTATGCAGTACAGCTTATAATGGGTCTCAGTCTCCTTCAGTATGTTTAGCTGTTCCTATCTTTTGCATCCAGTGTCAGATTCTCTAGCTTCCTACATTCTTGACAACGTCGTTCTACCAAAGACACCTCAGTTTTCAATTGTTTGAGACTTGTCATAAATCATTAGTTATGTGTGCACACGTTTATACTGATCATTTATTAATGAATGTTTTTGTTAAAATATTAAACCTAAAATGATTGAAAAGCGTTCACAAAATTGGTCCCATAAAGTCGTTCCAAGTCTTCGAGGGAAATTTCTGAGCGTTATGCAAATAAGACTAAATTGCATATGCGCTATCATAATGGGAACACTTTAAACTATGACTTGGAGTTTGAATATCATTACGCGGATAGGCTGAATAATGCTTGAACAGTTGTTTGTTTGCCGCGGATACACATTTAATAAAAGTTATTTTATTATGTGTACCCCGTAACATCGACTTATATAAATAATGTTCTTAGGTTTAAAGACATTTATTCTCATAACCATTTATATATATCCATTAATGCTTTGTTAAAAAGATATCAATTGCGAACGAAACAACTTAGGTGTAACAACTTATTATTATTTCGTTAATTATATACACATATGTATAGATGTGTTTTCCTTTGAACCACTACTTGTAATATGGAAAAGTGTTCGTAAAAATGTTTCTTAGAAAACAAGAAACGTAAAGGTGTTTATTGGCTGTAAACATCTCCCACTTTAACTAATTAAGAAACTTATCACACAAAAGGAAACAAAAATCCAGCAACATTTCCATTTCTTAAGGTTAATTATCCTACTCAACAGTACGTTGCAATTACAAACGGTTCGTTTCTTCGACTTCGCCAACGTAAATCTTTGCAGTTAAACTATTTCAACCATGAAAACTTGTATTTAGAAATGTTCTTTTTAATTAACTTCTAACTTAATCATATCGGTAGCTTTTAGAAAGTTTGAGAGACTTTAAAATGCATTTTGCCACTTTGTATTTTAACTTAAAACGAGTTTTGCGTTTAAGAAGTTTCTTAATGTTTCTTCTTTGTAATTTTACTGCATTTCATAAAATATTATACTTAATGAATTGTTAATGTTTTGTATTATTTTAACGACGTTATACAGAGATAGACATTGACGACTTATGGATCTAGTGGTTAGTACCCCTGACTGCGAATCCATGGGTCCCGGGTTCGATACCCGGCTGACACGAACATCGATGTGATGAGCATTTGGTGTTGTGCTTAGGTCTTGGGTGTTTAAATATGTATTTATATGTCTATCTATCTATAATATGTATGTATATCCGTTGCCTAGTACCCATAACACAAGCTTCACCAGCTTAGCATGGGACTCGGTCAATTGGTGTGAATTGTCTTTAAAAAAAAATAAAGATATTGGAAATTGTATTCGTTTTGAAAACAAACTCCCAAGCTAAATTAGATAATTATCACTAAATAAATTCAAAGCCCTTTAACATAAATTAATCGATAAAGCTTTTTAAAAATTTGACGAATATTTAAATTATCCTAATCCTTCGGATTGATTTGCTCCAGTTCAAACAATTTGTAAGACTCAAAACTTAGCGATTAAAAAGAGTGCCGGAAAGTTTCTTGCCAGTTCTTCTTGCCCGCTCTACGCCCTTGACTTGCGGACTAGTAGTAAGTGTAAATTTACTATTAATTAACCTTTTTTTTGACGTTCATAAGTGTACTTGTTTACCTATATGAATGAAGTTATTTTGAGTTTGAGTATGAGTTTGAGCTTGTTGAAATATTTTTGACTACCTAAAAGTCTTGCCACCAATGAATGAATATCTGCAAATATCTTATCTTCAAAATATGAATAAATATTGATTTCAACACTCTAAAATTGGTTTATACATAGCTATTTGTAGTTTGGACAATCTTTTTGCAATCGCATTCAAATTATTCATTTAATTTATATTTGACATAACAGTAACAAATAGTCACATTAATACAACATTGTGTGAAAGTATCGACGATAAAATAAATAAATCAAATCGATTTCATCGTTATTGTCCATAAAATGGCATTGTCTAACTTTAAAAATGAACAAGTCATTTTGCGACGAAAACGCTGAAGGCTCTGAAAACTTAGCGAAAAGAAACTTGCAAAATCAGGTATTCGCGAAAAGAAATTCAGCAAGTTTCTAACAATGGTATATTGATCACTTAAAATTTGTAACTCAAATTTGGGTAAACTTTTAATTGCTTCACAATTTCGACACATTTGAATATTTATTCATCTTCCTCTTCTAAATGGCAGGGTCTCTCTCTTGTCCATTGGTCTGTTGTGATTCGCACGGTCTTTTTCCTTCTCTGGCGTTTCCTATGCCTTTCTCCCAGCCCTTGCCCACCACTATCTTTGTTGCGACTGAGAGAGAATCTAAAATCTTCCCTCTTCAACGTACTTGCTTTCTTCGTTATGTATTTGATAAGTTTGGACATGTACACGACTATTAATAGTAATATTCCGTAGTATAATATCTTGTGGGCTGTGCATTCTTCGGGTTCTTTGAAAACTAGCATTTTGTTAAAACACTGAAATTTTGGTTGGGAGTTTTATTTGATACATTGACTTGACATTTAAAAATTATCGATTTACGAAAAACTAAAATCTTAGGTACAGATTAAAAGAAAATTTCTATTCAAGGCACAGATTAAGTGTTTTAGTTTATGGTAACGTCATATTTTTGTCCTCTTTTTTCCAGCGGAGAATGGAATATTTTACAGGGTTATTTGTAGTAAAAAGCTTTTGTGTAAAAAAGGAATTTGTGATAAACAAGTTTTACGACATTTCGTCTACTCGTTCCGCGACCGAACCAGTCGTAGGAACTAGAGTCAAAAGGTATAAAGTGCTTATAAATTACTCTTGATAACAATAGTAACGACTATGGAATCCCTATCTACCATCAAATAGTCGTTAATTTAAATATATAGTGTAGATATAGTATATTGGCAAATCAAATAACCTTTAGAACTGATTTGACGGTGACATTCTCTGTGACATATAATGACTAAGTCTGCTGTCAGTGACGCCATTGCTCCGTCATGTATGACATATTTTGCTTATGGCGCCATTCAAACGATACCGTACATTGTCCATTTCACTAATTAGACTCGATATAAATTTAAATTAAGATCACCTCTTTTAAACTGAAACGTATTGGAAGCACAAGACTAAACGAAAAAACGATAATTTTGTTTGTGGTTTCTATGCAAGTTCTGAAATTGAACGGTCAAACTTGCCCCGACATATGATTCTATGATAATATCTAAAAGTTATATTAAATCATTCAACAATTACAATAAGCAATTATTTTTTTAGTATATATAATTTAAAAATTGAAGATTATCATGTTGAACGTAAAGTTTCCTGGTGCTATGACAGTTGACACTAACATTTATAAACGTTATCACCAAATTTTAATAAGAGCTATCGATATATCTTGGAGTTTTCGAAATTTAAATGTTGCTAATTGTTTAACTTATAAACTTAATGCTAAGTATTGTTCACAAATTTGTTTTACAAAAATAAAAACCTATATCGATGGGAATTCTTGGTCTAAAACCGTTTACAAAACATGTAACAAAACAACGTATAGCTCGTAAATTAGTAACTTTAATATACATTAACGTTAAGTATGTTTATACCCAATTATTGAGCATTGCCTGAGATCTTTTTCTGTTTTGATAGTGTCATTTTATCATTTACATACTATAAATTTGAAAAATACCTATGTTTCCTTAAAGAAATAAAGCAGAAGAGGGAAATATTACAATTCATAAACATGATAAGGAAAATTTTAATTATCATAAATACCAGTGACATAGCATTCTTACCAGGCGGCGTCTATTGTTGTAGTTTTTACCTATTATAAACTGATTCCTAAAAAGGTTTAGGTGCTCACTATTATTTATTTGAATACACGGAATTATCGGTGAAGAGGTTGCAAGAGGTTTAGGTAAAATACACGAAATCAACGGGAGCGGCAGCTGGTTTAAGATAATATATGATATTTTAAGCAATAATATTTTTTCGTTTTTGTAATACTATCTACATAGCTAATTAATTGAATATTATTTTATTAAACATGGTTTGAGCAGTAGTGTGTAGGTACACTTAAATCTTCAAAGAATCAAAGTCATTGATCTATAGTAAATTATAAAATCATCGAAGTCGATAGAAGGGGACCGTCGTCTTGTTTCTTATCTCCGGCGATTTTTTTACTAATTTCTTCATAATCACCTTTCCTAAACTCAAAATGAAACTTTTCAATATCCGAGTTGCGTGAAAAGTTTCAAGTTGTACAGTTGTAACTAACTATATAAGACACAGTATATCTACTAATAAACAGACATTAAGAACTTTTTTTAATTAAAATATTTAATTTTATAAGTTCTAATCTATTACATGGACACTTTGATACAAACAAATTTGACAAAAAGAAACTTTTTTGAATCGGCTAAACTAAAAAAAAATTACGTACCGTAAAACAGTATTATAATCACAATTTTGCAAGTACACGCCAACTTAATTAGTGTTCAAACGCAATCACGATGAAACGTTACAGCGACGCCTAATCGTGTTTAAAAACCCAATATTAAATTTCTGCTTCATACTTATGTAGAGAATTCTCTGCAATTCTACGTATCACTGACATGAGTGAAACAACGAAGTTAGGTATATAATGTCGTTAACAACTCACTGTACGCTGACTAATAATTTCATAGCAACAGAAAAGTGAATTCGCTCGAGACTGAAGCTGTAAACAATTTATTTCCATAACTCAGTTAGAATACTAATTGCTATTCCCATACAGTATACATTTTCATGGAAATAGATTTTTAGATAATTTAGTGGTTCCGTTTCTGTGTACAACACTCAGGCCGTATAACACTTAATCGGTGATGGATAACATCAAAAGGAAATGGATAACTTAGATTCAACGAATAATTATGTTCAAGTGTGTCATCTAATCGCGTATAATTTTTTTAAATAAAATTCCAAAAATTTGAGACTTCTGATACCATGAATTATTTTTATTAAGTTTTATCGTTAATCTTCGCATCTATATATACATCATTTTTCGACAATACATAAACAATGTAATCTTATGATTCCAAACCCCGAAATCCAAAGAGGTGTGCAACACGCTCCAGATGAATCCAAGTCACATTACCAAGTAAGATCTCGACTGGAAAACCAATGACAACAGAAAACGTGGTCGTCCAAAACAGATCGGGCAACGAAGCATCATTGCAGAGCCGAAAGAAGCTGGAATTACCTGCGGTGCCCAAGAACGATTAGGCTGGTGTTCTATGCCCCTTGCTCCACATGGAAGATCATTCAAGTAAGTCATCATCTTGATATGTACTTGATTAAAAATACACAAATGTATTAAGAAGATAAAGAGCGTTTTGGTACACCTTGGCCCGTATTCCAGATACCGTCCAGAGCTGTTCAAAGATTTGGCAATTTGAAGTATGTCATATTTATCGATTGCTCAAGGGGAAACTGTGACTTGCGATACCTATTCGTTTACCAAGCTAAATTTTAAAATAATTATATTTTTTTATAGTAGTTGGAGTTTGAATTCTCGGCGATTATTTACAAATGAGCCACCATTCTATAAATTAAACGAAGAATTCAGTTTTCTTGTTGGATCATCCAAAAGCGCGTACCATGCAAACAGCAAGATTAAGACACAAAACATAATTTTACGTAAACATATTTACTTCCATCGAGTCTGATGCTTCAATGGAACGTAAACAATTCAGATTTCACAAACAATTTGGGTTTATAAAAGCACGAGAATAATGTTATATTATGCAAAGTGTATTTACATTGGAAGTATTTATACGGTTTCAGAAGCGACACTGCCAAATGCGACAACGTTCCCAACGGGCAATCTCGGTTCCTAAATTAGGTAATAGAGCCAGACTTAATTAGAATAACACAGTTCAATCTAAACAGGTACCGCTTTAATTATAAACTGGCCAAGCTAAATGCATTCACGATATTATGTGTGCAATGTAGGGTTCGAATTATAATATTGAATTCGGTTTTTTGAAAGTCAGTTTTTAATTTTAGTTTTATTTTTAAAATTGTTATGAAGCTTCTGCGTTTTTGTGTCGAAGTCGTGTTATAAAATTAAGGCACTTCCGCGGCTTATTATCTCAAACAAACAGGTGATAAGCCATTTAAACCGTGTATACTGCAACAGTTATTGTTTCGTTGCGAAACAAATTCAGGACCTCTGAGTTGTACACCACTTTCCTAATAAGCCAAAATAATATAAATACTTTACTAATCATTTATTTATTCTAAGTCTGTATAAGTAATTAGGTTATATATAATAATAACTGGTTTCATATGAATTGAAGAGTAGTTGTTTAGTTTTTCGTAATTTGAATTTTTTCTTTGATTAGTAATTGTTTTTTTTTGTAATGTTTGTTTTGTTTAATAATAGGTTATGATCTCTATATATATGTATGTCATGTTTGCCTTTAAGTGCTTGTCACAAAAAAAATAGTATTTTGTGTTTGTTTTTACCAATGTGTCAGTGTGCCGAGCGTTGGCAAGCTTTTTCTCAATTAAAAAAAAAGAAAAAAAGAAAAAAATACCTTTCAGCTCTCGTAAACACTTCTCATCTTGAAACTCTAAGTGCCACAATGTGTCGAAAGTAAATAAATTCATATTATATATAAATACTTATGTAAGAAATGTTGTTTTAAATAGATTGTCCATTCAAAGCAGTGTAGTGGCTTTAGCGTGCGACTATCATCCCTGAGGTCTTAGTTTCCATAGCGTGCACTAATGGACTTTCCGTCTACGTGTGCTTCTAAAACTCGCTCGTACGGTGAACGAAATCATCGTGAGGAAAGCGGCATGTCTCAAACCGAAAAATCGACTACTAGTGTCGGACATAGAAGACTGTACACCTACTTGTCTATCGTAATAAAATGATTAAAGAAACGGGTGCAAATTGGGCCAAGGGTTGTAGCGCCATTATTATATTGTCTATTCACAACCAAGCGAAACGCATCATTGTCGTCTTTTGTTTTGAGTTTCAACCCCCGTATCACCGTAATTCTATACAAATAGAGTCTACGTTGTCTCTGAAACAATAATGCAGTTGCGTTGCGATATTTCTTGTACTAACTGGCTTGTACGACTTCGTCTGCGCAGGATTAAAATAAGATGTGTCCAAATGATGTAACGTGAAAGACATATTTTATCTACTTTAAATACCAGAGTCCAGAAGCGATCTTTTTTCACTTAGGAATCAATTTATTACTACCAAATGTGCATTTGAAATCAATTATCAATTTTTATTGTTGTTATGGTTTACTATTTTCCCTATAATGGCTTACACATAAGACATAGATATATACTGTGGCGGGCTTTTTTGTAGGACTATTTAAGATAATCATTTCCATCATACATCACATATGTGTAACTTTAGCGGATTGGCAGCGAACGCCAGAATAGCTCGCAGATGGTAGATTTTTTCCTACTTACTTGA